TATTCAGATATATTCAGTATGCATAATATTCAGTCTCAAAGATTTGCATAACTTATTAAGAAATCAGCTTCTTTGGTTCTTTTAATATTTAATTTATTGTCAATGTGCTTCAACCTTAAGCATATTTTATCAAGGGAGATGATGTGTGATGTTACATCAGCTGACTATTGTCTTCTCCAATAATCTCTGTGTTACAAACTTAAAAGAATTTTATTCTGAATTAATTCTCATGGCTTTTCTCCAACAATCCTGAGAAATTATAATTTGAAATAAGTACTCAAAATTCTTTAATAAAGATATTTGGCCCCTATCTTTTCTTGAATAGCAGCTTCCAGGGCTCGCTCTCTTGAGATTGGAATAAAGCAATTTGATGACAAGTATAAATGAGATGGCATCCCTATTGAAAACATTGTCTTAATTATGTACATAACTATACATGCATTCCACTGAGAGTCAAACATTCTTGACTTTCAAGTTAAGTCTTGAGTTTTATTATGAAAACGGCACAATTGGGATAGAAAGGGGAGGTTTGTATCCCTATTTAAAACTAGTGAATGAGTCTATTTAATGTATTGTGTGGGCATAGAATGCTGTTTGCCATTAAAAGCTAATTATATAGGAATAATCCAGGTATTTCAATACTGCTAATTTAGCTGTCAGAAATCTAATAAATGCTACCGTTTCCTGGTGGATGGGGAAACCAGGAGGATCATTGGATAGATCTCCAAAACATGATAAAGCTTTAGGATTTGATGGGATACACAGTGCATTCCATTTTACAGTTCAAAAAGCATCTAGAGAGTAGTTGGGAGCTGAAAAGAAGGAAACCCTAAGAGGTTTCTTCATCATATCACCATGATGTGTGAGTAACCACACCCTGCTAAGGAGCATTCCACAACTTCATTCCAACAGCAAGTATTTCATCTGCTCTTGACAACCAAGTGACTAACTTCCTTTTCATTCTCTGTCTTCTTTTGCTCACCTTGTTCTAAGTAAATGCTAGAGCAACCAACTGGCTTTTTTATTTTTTATTTATTTATTTTTGTGCAGCACACATTCTTAAAAATATGTGTTTAAAAGATGATTATTTTGACCCATTTTACTTAACAATGAAATTAAAATTAGCATTTTTTTTTCCAATAAAAAGAGATTGGCATCAATTTCATCAGGGACAAGTATTAAATGGATAGGAACTGGTTTAAATAATAATACATACCGGTACTACTTTATATAAAGTGTTTGTTGAGAACTGAAATAGATTATTATTCTTCCCTATTATAATGGGACTCAACATGATAACACAAATCACTGCCATGAGTGTAGGGTTGATCTAAAATTGTGGTCGGCTCTGTATCTAAATGACGTGATCTGAAAGGAACCCTGTTAAGAACTTTTTGTGTGTGCTTTGTCTATACACCAATTTAATACCTCTGATTTTTGTGTACCTTGATCTCCTTGTATCTCAAACAAGCCTTCTTCTGACAATGTCACAGTTGGTGCATTTACCAGAATGGTTATTTCAATCATGAAAGGATAGTTCTTCCTTTAGCAGAGATCATTGAAATGTTGGCACTTGAACAAAACATTTTAGATGCCTACTATGGAGTAGCAAGCTCGGTTTTTGGTATTGATTACCTTGTGCATCTGTTTCTCCTACCTATGAGTCATATATTTTTTTAAACTCTAACCCACTTCTTCTTTTCAAATGTTCTAACAAGCTTTTGTGCAATGTGCAGTGACATGTACATGTAAAGTAAACAGTGTACAGTTGTTCAGAAATAAATTCTAGTATGTTCACTAGGTTTCACTTCAGCTGTCTGGGTGCAGAATTGCACTGTAGTGAACCGTTCACAATCCCAGAATCAAGATATTTAGGTTACATTTTCAAAAAGAAATGTTTTTTTCCCCACAAGCATTTAATTCATTTCAGATATGAAATTGCTGTAGCAGAATAGTAATTTAAACTATAGAAATTCAGGTTATGTTTAACCACGCTCCTCCAAATCCTTCCTGCTATATAAAAAATTAGGACTTTAAGTTGTTCCTCTTATATATACAGTATATATTTAAATAAATATTGCTTTCCTAAATTAGTTTCTCCAGCATTATCTCAAAGACTTCTCTTCCAATATTTTCAGGCACAAAGCTGTGAGCTTGTCAAATATTAATGGAATAAAGAACTCTTGATTCTATTCTATGGAGAAAAAGGTTTATATCCCAGCAATTTATAAAGACTTACTCTCTTTATCTTATTTTACTTTTTGTTATACCGGAACGTTTTTTATAAAGGTAAAAATAATTGCTACTTCCTTTTCCTAAGATGTTTTCCAACTTTTTGGTAAACCTGTTTTATGCCTTCAAATCAGTCTTGACTTCTGGTGACTGCCTCCAAGTGCCTGCAAATTTCTTGGCAAGTTTTTTTTTTAGAAGTGGTTAGCCCGTAACTTCTTCCTAAGGCTAAAGGAAAGTAACTGACCCAAGATCACCAGCAAGTTTCATGCCTAAGGCAGGAATTGAACTCTCTGTCTCCTGATTAAAACCCAGTTTAGACTGGGTTTTAATCATTACATCAAATTACCCTGGAATCCCCTGGTAGTTTTCAAACCAAGTGCAAACCTGGCACAATCCTGTGTGCTTTCAGGGCATGCCAGTACTTCCATCTGCAGAGATAAAGCCTAATTCCTAATAAACTTCCCCTGTTAGAAAATCCTGCAGGCTGACATAATGTAGTTTTCTGAAGATTGCACAATTTCCTTATCTAAAAATCAACCACTCAAAAAACTAAAAATGTTTTAATTGTTGAAATTCAGTTATTATGCATGCTCTCGTCTTTTCTTTTCTTACTGCAAATATTCCCCAAACGTTTGCAGTAAGGTCTATTGTTGAGTGTGCTGCATGGACATTTTTGTATTGTGCTATTGGGGTTTTTTTAAGTTATAAAGTGTTTATGTATTGCTACTACTGGTATTTACAGACTACAGGAATGTCAGTAACTAGGATGGAACACTATGTAATCAGGTTTTGGAAGGAATAGGGTAAAACAGAAGAGTTGGCAAGTGGCAGTGAGAAGGAGGGCACAGAAAGAATGATGGACAAAGAAGAAGACAGGATCATCTGAATAAACTAGAAAAGTATCTTCTGGGATGGACAGTAAAGAAGTCTTCTTGATTGTTTGATCTGTCATATGGGAAGGTGAGTTTGCCAGGGCCATGAATCATCTGTGTCTTGGCTCCTATTAGAGCATAAATGTCCAGGAAAATGGAGAAAACTAGAAGTTTTCAGAAGAGTAGCAACTATGCGGAGATGCCAAGAAATAAGTTCCAGAGGAAATGCAGTAAAACAAAGAATTCCATTGGGCTCAATTTGAACCTGATGGCAAATGAAAGATTCTGACAGTTAGTTTGGAAAATTGGCTACAAACATTTAGAGAGACTGTGGGAAATATGAAAGAACTGATATTTGAAGATGCAGGGCTCACAGATGAGGATTGATGGGTTAAGGAATTTTGTACCTTCGGTATGCAGATGTGTGGAATGGATGAGAAAATGGGATTTTGATTCCTGAGCACTTAACGTCCACCTTTACTTTATGATAGGTCGGCTACTCCATTTGGAACTAGGTCAGTAGGGGCAATGGAAACTCCCTGTACGGGAAACAAATTCCCACCCAAGAAAGGAATGACAGAAAGCACCAAGCTGGTTATGACATGACAAAAGAAATGTGCAATTTTGTTTCAGTCCAGCTTTAGGCATCTCTGTCTCCTCCCAGAAACTTGATGATTTGCTAGACGATCCCCTTGGCCGCCAGATAAATTGCTCACAAGGAAGTTGCTACTTGTGCTGAATCTTTCCAGATGTCTTAGACAATGTAGGTTCTTTGAACTTCTAGAGATAGAAGAAGCAGGAGAAAAAATCTGGGTCAGGATCTCTGACCTTGATTCCTGTCCTGCTTGGCTCACTATAGCTGGTGAGGGACATTTATTTAGACTTGGGAGAAGATTAATGACTCTTTGAAGGAGAGGATAATGCTCTCTGCCTTGAAGGAAATGGTGATGTATACCTTGCTGAAGAACCCATTTTTTGATCTAACTGTATTAGACAACTTCCACCTAATTTCTCTTCTGGGGGGAAACTGCTGCAGAAAGTGTTGGCACTATAGTTATAGATTGACTTTCCCAGGTTTATGGTTCTGGAAAATTTCAATCTATCTTTTGGGGAGGGATCTGAGATAGATCAGGAATTTGTAGCCACTATGACAGCCATGGGTCTATCTCAGGTCATCCAGAACCCATCATGGGATAGTGGTCATACTTGATCTGGTTTTCTTTAAGACCAATGACAAAGTGATCTGGGGAAGCTCTCTGTGGTTCCTCTATCATGCTTAGATCATGCCCTAGTAACAAAGAGATACCATTTAAGGAACACTCAGATGAAAGAGGGAGGAGCCTACAATTGAGTAACAGGCAGAAAAACAAATACTTTCAGATTTGCAAGATTCTATTAATGTAGCCTTATAATAAAGTAGAATAAGCTCATCTTATTGTGATTCCTGCCTAGTCTACTTGGGACACTGACAGATGCCAAATTTAATGTGGGTCCTGTGAAAGTGCTTGGGGAACAATTTTGCCCTGATATCTAGAAAAGGTTTAAACCTGTGCCTAAAAAAGTGAAAGTTTGCCAGGAGGGAGATGTATGTGTGGGTTCTATGAAGGTGAATTCAATCTTGAGAGAATTCCTAAATTTAGCAGTTAAACTGTCAATGAAAAAAAAGGCATAGTGTTTCTATCCAAATTCCACTTATGTTATTCCAGTTCCTTTAATTTCAGTGGTGAAATTTAGGACCATGGTTTATCATTTGGTTGATGTTGTAAAAACAGCAATCACACACTAAGAAGCCTTCCAAAACATGTTGCAAATCACCTGGAGATTTATATCTACATTCGGATGTATCTTTCTTCTATCCCTAGTTTAAGTGAATATTTTAGAGTGTGAAACTAGTCATCATGCAAATAATTATTTTATTATTACCATTTAAGAAAGTGTCCACTTTGCTTTTTTTGGCCTTTCAGATTTAAAATAATGAAGAGATAGTAGAAATAACAAAACATATGCAGTTTCTCAAAATGCAGCACACAAAGGATTTTAAACAACTGGGTTAGTTTAAAAATCAGCACAGCATGACATTATTAAAAGCATGGTAGAAAAAAACCTTTCCTGCTCATCAGACTCAAGGGATGGAGGCAAATAAGTCCTTTTAGGGGCAAGTCCAACTGGAATAACTTTCTAAAGGTGGGAACTAGCTCCAAGCCGGAAAAAACACTCCTTCAAAGGAATAAGAACAGGTATCACACAAAGTCAGACCACAAATGTGTGTATTTAAAGCTTAAGAGCTTTCTAAATTGATAATAGCCTTCATTAACTATAAACCTTAGTTTACAGAAATGTGCTGATTTTCTATTTGTGTCTGGAATGCTTTTTTATGATTTGTACTATACATTTTTATATATGCAAGTTTGGAGATTTCAAGTTAATTCCTAAAACGGTTAATGCTCAGTTGGTTAAAAAGAAGCGATAAAGCTTCAATATCCCAATATCTATAATCATGCCACCTTTCCTTTGTGTAAAATCTTTGTGACCTTTAACAACTTACCACAACTTTTAACGCTCACATATTTTATATTCTGGTTCAATATGATATATCAGGTGTTTGCCGAGTAGTGTGCTTTAGGTAAGAAAGAGCAAGAACATAAAGAATAAATAGATCGGTGGAATCAAAAAGGATACATCTAATTCACTCTGAAAAAAATTTTAAAAAAAATTAGCAAGAGAACAGAACTGTTATTGTTTTGCTATTTTTTTCTAAAATAGATTTGTATATTAGTTTGCAAGCATAAGGATTCTAAATTCCTTCAATTTGCAAAATAGGTTTTCAATCTAGCAGAAACTTTTTCGAGAAAAATAAATGTGACATTTTTTATCATTTTCTTTTGCTGCCACTTCTTATGACCCCAAAAGCTCATCTCTTGTCATTTCTTCCAATGGAATGGAACAGTTATTTTTATTATTCAAGTAAAAGTTGAATCTCAGAATGCTGACTATGTTTAAACCCAGAGGTCATAATTGATCCCTGAGGGCATGTTATGTCATTCCCAACTTAACAACTGCAAGTGATTTTTGAGGATAAGTGGATAAGGAGGAAGATGATGGATGCAAGAGGAAAATCAAATTCTAAAAGAAAAAATGAATGGGACTTAAGGAAATGATGAGTTTTACTCCCAAGTTCTGCTTTGAACATATTTGTTTTCCATTTGCCTAACTGATATGTGGACATTCTACAACTCCAAATGGTTATTTTCTAAACCAAATAACTTTGTATCTATCGCAACATTAGAAAGAACTCAAAAGCTAATGTCTTTTTAATGTCTATATTTGTTAATGTGTTCTGCAGAGGTGAGCTGCTAAAAACAATAACATTATATTTTGCCCATGTCAGTCTGCATGTCAAAGATTATTATATGCAAAATGCATTACATAAATTCAGCAGCCATGTAAGGAGTACCTTACACTTACAGTAATTTGAAAATCTGCAAATCTCATTCCAAAAACCTTCCTCTACTATTATACACTTTGTGATTATAGATCATTTAGCAGAGAATAGACAATTCACAATGTGTTCTCTTATTAAAAATAGTACAATTGCATTAGCAATAGCAATCTATAGGAATTGGTCTTGCCTCTCACTTTGTTAAACTCAGAAAGGATGAAAAGTTGGATAGACTATATTTTACATACTCTATTTCAGTGCTTCTCATCCTTGGCAGCTTCAAGATAGGTGGACTTCAACTCCCCAGCCAGTATACTACTTCTGAATTAAAATTGTATTTAAAAGATCTGTCCACAGTTCAGAGAGATTTGGGTATATGGGGATGGAACTCAAATCCTCACTCTCATGTCATCATAAACCTGATACTGTTAATTAATCCACCAATAAATTCATAGAAATGTTAATATGGACAAGCTATTACTTTCTCTAATAATCTCCTCGCATTATTATTTTTGATTACTTAAAGCATTTTGGCGTGTCACATTTTCAACTTTCAACTTCCAAACATTAGGGGTGTTCAAAAGTTGTGACATGCCCTAGGGATTGTAAAGATACTTCGGTAACTTTAATATAATGTAGATGTGCTTGGTAAGTAACTCCATAAATATCATAACTTTTTAACATTTTCTTCATTTCATTTGTGCATTATGCACAAATGAATCATGGAAAAAGTGAATCATGGAAAAAAAAACTTGCTTGGAAGACACTTGAGGCACATACAGTATACGACACAGCTGATAGAGCATACTCATGGTTTGTAGGTCATGAGCTAATGATGAAGGCTGGACAGCCAATTGGTAGTGTGAGAAGGAAAAAGTGCCCTACGCACAAGTTTCCATATTCATGACTGTTCTCATGCATTTCATTAGAATTATGCCCTATACAAAGACATGCTACATGGCCTTCAGGCTGACTGTTCACAGTACAATTACAACTGCTAAATTCATACTTACCACTCTGCTGAAATACTTGTCCAAAACCTCAACAAAATTATGAATCAGTTCAAATACAGCCATCTCATTCTGAAATTAAGTTCAAAATACACTTTAAAAAAGATCAATAGACAGGTGTGCTAATATGTTTTCTTTTTTTACAATAACTTACTGTATACAGTAACTCTAAAATATTAAACAGTATCAGGAGAAGCAAAAGTAGAAATTAAACCACCGAAGTCTCCTTAGTTATAGACTGGGGAGATAGGTAAGGGCCTGTGGGCCTTAATCATTTCCTGTGACATTCTGCTTTGTTTGGATACTATGGACCTATTATTGCTTTTTTGATCAGCCCTCTGAGAAGAATTTCTGTACTTGATATAATATAGTAATTACAAATAGAAGTTCTGTCCATCTTTGATATTGGATGTGTATCAACTGCCCCTCCTGAATGACATCCCCCAGGGGTCAAAAGAAAACAGTGTCCCAATTCTCCCTTAAATTCTGTATCTGCTTCACTGGCAAAATAAAGTAAAACAATAAGTGGTACAAGCAGAACACCAAGCTACGACACTGCACTAAATTTCACTGTGAGCAAATTGCCACTGACATGGATGTTTTAGTTCATGATTCCTGTTTGTAGCCCTGGGTTTTTCTCAAAGGTTTTCCTTATTATAAATACAGTTTATTTTTCTCAGGATTGAATTAAATATTTATAAAGTAATGAGAACAACACATTTCAGATGCATGTACAGCAAAAAGAATATCCATGAAGGAAAAGGTAGACTATTTTCACGAGGATCTGAAGATACAGAGTACTCTGTAGAGAACCTCTGGTCACAACCAGAATTCGTTCCATAACTTTGGTTGCAAACCGATTTGGTTGTGACCTGAACCTAATTTAGGAAATTTGGCACTTATAAAAAAAGGGGGGGGGGGGGGGGGGGGGGGGGGGGGGGGGGGGGGGGGGGGGGCAGGGGGATGTGAATTTTTTGGTCAGAACCCAATTTGATCGTAGTCAGAAGCATTCGTGACCAGAGGTTCTACTGTAATTGATCTGCTGACAGAATTGAGAGCCAATCAAACTCAGAAGTTAGCTTGTGTGTCATGTGAGTTCATAGTATTCAATTTAGATATCTAGTTAAATCTATCATTATCACTACAAAAATTAATGCCAGCCTTTTGATCTTTAATGCACCATAGAAGTTTTAATTTGTTCCAGGGGACCAATACTGCTATCTGCTGGAATGTTTCTTGTAGCTGGTACCTTGTAATAGTTCCTTACTCTTCTTTTTAGGCTTCAGATTAAATAACAGTGTTAAAAATTTGGACTTATTGAGTCCTGTTTTGATTCTAGGATATGAAAGCGAATAGAAAGCAAGAGAAATGGAACAGAGAATCTTGTGTTACATCTAAGATCCATATAAAAAAACTCCTAAAAATATAACTTTCACTGTGATGAAAGCTTTCTACAGTTCTGAAGCAAAGAGCAATTTCAGTCTTTCTTTATGATTGGCTACCCTATTTTTTGTAGTTCCCCTCCTCTCACTGCATCAGTGTATTTTTATTAGCAAAACACAAAAAAATGGCTGTGCAGTTTGGGGCAAGGTCTAAACCATTGCAGGGTTTGCCATCTTTGAAACCCACACATCTCACCAAATATATATTTAAAAGGCCAAAATATTTCTATTTCATTCTTCTGGTGATGTCATAGCATTGCTATGTGTTCCTTGGGGGGCAACCAGCATTTATGTAGTGATCAGCAGCAGAAATATTGGATGACTTATAAACATCAGGACAAAGAAGTATCAACAAGTAACTTTTGATGTAAAAGGCTCTTCAGGGTATATCTATATCTATAAATAAGAAAGTCAAAACATACCTCTGTTTCATTGATTCCAACTACTATGAAAAGAGCAGCATATTGTCTATAGACCAACTTAAAATCTTTGTATTCAAGAAAGGAGCACTAAAGGGAAAAAAAGTAAAAAGATGTAAATTGATATAAAATACCTAGATTTGTAGATGTGTGTTAGCAATAATAATTGGTCCGATTTCTTATTTCATCACAAGAATATATAATTTATGATTGCTGGATTTGCACAACATGCTAATATAAAATCAAATGAACTACAGAATTATTCAGTGTGATAAGTGAATTTAATCACTCTTAGTCAAATTATATATCAGAGGCCACACCTTGTATTCAAGCTAGGATATAGAAAATGGTGAAAAAAGGATGCAATGAAGTTCAATAAGATACTTGGATTGTTCCCTTCTTGCATTATGTCAGTAAAAAAGAAACATCCTTATTCTTTACATACATATTATGAACAAAATGTTGATCACTTCTCTGTCACATTTAATAAAACAATTAAAACTCAAAAGACGTACGGATTTCTGAATCATTTAAGATCAATTATTTTTATATGTGTCCAATTAGATCATTCATTCATACTTTGTGCATACCTCTAAGACATAAATCAGGACTAATCTGATCATGGCTTGTGCTGTGGTCTAAATATCTTCACAAGGTATATAGCTTGTTATTGAATGGTTTCTGATGGTCCTAACTAATTGTGGTGTTACACATTTTGTATTTATAAAGTAAATGGCTGAATTACATATAGTTTGGCCTTCAAACGTCTGCTAAAGACAATGAAAAATATATAAAAATTATACTACCATAAAAACTACATTAACATTTATAACATTTTGGGAACTCTGGTCCAATTCATCAGATGCATGAAATGTCACAGTTACTTACTTGCTCCTTTGTACGAGAAAGGCACTGCTTGATTACTTCAGCTTCCAGAACTGTCCGCTTATGAAGGTCTATGTATTCATAATAACGAGAAAGCCTTGTTTGGCCTTGTTTATTCACCATCAGGAAAAATTTGATCATGGCTTGTGCTTCAGTCTAAATATCTTCACAAGGTAAAATGCTTGAAAGAGAAATCAGAAACTCAGATTCATCAGACTGTCAGAAATGACCTGAATGAACATATTAAGAATGAATTGGGAACAAAATTTTACAGCAAGTAATTAGGCTGTGGAAGGTACTCAAAGCTAGTAGATGACATGGAAGGCCTAGAAAAGCTAGAGTTTTAGATAAGCCAGGTTTCAAATAACATTACCTCTTAAATGCATGGCTAGCAAATTAATTATAACAAATATTTTCCAACATGGAACCTTTTTCCTTCAGTAGATTGCCAGCAAAGAGATATGGCTAGCAAGTTCAATGAAGAAATTGCATCATCAGCATAACTATGAAAGATTAGTATTCTATAGAAAATTGAAGGAATAGAAATAAGAATTATGAGAAATAATTTTATTAAAGATTAATCAGAGAAAGTAAAAACTAATACAAACTACAAAAATATTAAAAAGAAAAAATAGAAAGTGTGGAAAAGAAAAAAGAAAAGTATATAAGAAGCATCCTTTCTCTTCATCATCTGTATAAACAATTTTAGTAAGTTATCACCATCCCTTAAATACTACAAATACTCTCTTCTTCCCATAACTCATGTCTTAACTATAAACAAAACTCTGTATCATTCATTCCTTAACAGCAAATGTTCATTAAGGGTTATCAGAGACCACTACATATCTATTTTAATCTTGATCAATTCTGTATCCCTTCCCTGAACTTTTAACAATCTTAGGTTTTAATCCTTCAAATAATGTCCTATAATTTAATTTGTTTTTATTTTTTATTTGTCCCTTCTCAGAGAATCCTTCAAAACTTTAACAGATCTCTTCTGTACATTCAGTGAAAAAGGTTATCCAAACCACTCTAGTTTGATATTTGTATGTCATCTTTAAGTATTATGACACCAGCTAGTTTCATTTGTATGCCGGGCATGTCATCTTTTTTCATATTATTCTTATAACTTCTCATATTTAAATACACATTCAAATCAATTTCAGTCTCATTCTACATAGCTTGTTCGTGTTCTATGACATCATTAATACACCAACTATCTATGGTGTCAGATATTCTTAAAATTAATTTCTGAGTCCATTATTCAAAAAGACCCTTCAAAGCAGCCACTGTTAAAATATTGTACTCCATTCTTTGCTAACAAGTCAAATTGAAGTATTCTTCTCCTTTAATAATTGTAGTGTTTAATTTCTTCTAGTTCCCTCTAGCACTCAACTTTCAAAGTACCATTCTATCATGTTTTTTCCTCAAAGAACCCAATAATGACAGTCTCCACAAAAAGGATTTTAAAATTAATTTCAATGTTTGTATTCCAAATCCATCTGGGCTCTTCGTCTATTTTTAAACTTTGAGAATCAACACTCTCTTTTGCTATTTATTCCAAAAAATAATATTTTTTGAATCCTTAAAGTCATATTTAAACCTTTTTTCACTAAGAAGATGGAAACACATCCAGTGAATATAATAAAAATTGCCATTATGAAGGTTCTTAATACTTCAAAAGCAGGTCAGAACAAATCCAAAGGTGATTAAGAAATGGAGCTCCATCGAGTTTTTTGACTCTAAATGTTTAGATGGAATCCCTCAATTCCCAGTCATTCAACTCATAAGCTGACTACAAAAACTAGGTTCTTACAGTCTACTTACAAGGAATGGCTGACCAGAATTCATGCAGACAATCTCACAGCCTCTCCTTCCTCCAGAGACATTTCACCAGCCAGAATCCTGCATATAGCCACTGATCTCTATCATGACTGCTGTCCCACTTTGGCAAGCTCATTTAGCTCACCATGACCTCCCTGGAAGAACTCTCCTTTATTGTTACCACAGTTTGATTGGTCAATGGGAGGATTTGGAAAGTAACAATCAATATAATTGATGCACAGGTAGTTGCCAGAGTACAAGGAACTGTTACTTGTTAGTAAAAGATGGTTGTACTTAATATAGATTTCTTAAAAGTAAATGGCAAAGGGAGTTAATTTTTGACAATTCTATGGCACCTTCCCATATTTTTTAATTTGTCCTCTAAATTCATCAATGAGCAAATCCAAATTTAATTCTAGGGCTGTACCAGTAGAATGCCAGAGATGATGAAAAAGGGGCAGTACTGAGCTACTGCTCAGATAAGGTGTTTGAGACTCTGGAATATAAAGTTATACTAGCTTTCAACACATTACTGACATGGAGAAAATTTAGGCCAGCTCTTGAAATGACCTGAAAATATCTCTCTAAGTGCTTTCAATGCAATTTTTATCCAATTTCTACCCTGGGATAATGGAACAAACATGCTTACCCAGGTCTAATTTACTGGGAGCTTTATCTGTTGGAGTCATCACCCAGCTCAGACTGAAAGTAAGAAAAAAATGACACAACATCAGGTTCTAACACTAAACTGGAATTAATCATCAGGAGCATGCAGAATTTGAATCGGGACCCTTACAGATAAAGACAAATATATTGCACAAATCAATTAACTCACATATTACTGAAAAATAAACACTGTATATAAAACTAAGATTAAAAACAGAGCCACAATACAAAATATTAGCATTTTAATTTAAAAGGCTGACTTGGGTAAAAGAAAAATATAAAGTTAGTTCTCTCTAATGTTTCTACAAATGGGGCATCTCAACTGAGAATAGGACTCTACCAGTCAGGGAGTCTGAGTTCTGGAACGTTCATTCTTTACATACCAGAGATTGCTCATGATAAAATTACTTAGGTTGTGGTCAGCAGTGTAAACAATACATCTTATTCCCTGGCTAACATCTTTAACTCTTGCTTAACTGATTTTTCCAGCACAAAATTAGAGTTTTAAAATCAAGCTGGGTAAAGTGTATCTCCCTGAACAGCAAAAAAAGTCATCCTTTGGAGTCCTCCAGATAAACCTGCCAAAAGGAATCAAAATGGATAGACACAAGAAAAAGAACATTCTAATCAACATTTAGAGACAGTAGAATCAGCCAATGCAGAGCTATGAAAAAAATACCGGATTAATCAGCAGCAATAAACAGCCATTATGGATAATTATTAAGGACCATCAAACCAACTCATGGTGACTTTTTAGACAAATCTTTATCATTTTATTTTAGTTATAACTGATAAGTCTTCAAACAGCATTCCAGTAATTATTTTCATCCTATCCAACTACCTTATGCATTGCCTTCTCTCTTCCTTTCCTTAAGCTAGAAGCTTACACCTTAAATCAGTATTTCTCAGTCTTGGCAGCTTTACGTGGTTTAAACTTCAAACTGGCTGGGAAATTCTGGGAGTTGAAATCCACATCTCTTAAAGCTGTCAAGATTGAGGAAACTGCCTTAAACACTGCCCCATTATTCTTCTACACTCAGAATTCTTGGATTGCATTTGTATATGCTACTCCATAAATCATGATTTACAAACCATAATATGGTAAATCATACTATGATTTCTTTGGCTTTTACTTAGAATTATGATTTGTAAATCATGATTTATGGTTTAGTGCTTTATGTACACACAGCCTGGTCCAATGCTCTAGCTTGGCCCTTTATTATGGATTAGCTTTGTTCTTATAATTTTTAATTCTTTTAAATAATTATATAATGGTTTTAACTAATGATTTCCTTATTTACTGATTTTACTGGACTTTTGTACACCACCCAGATATACTTTCCAGAGATAGGCAGCTGTATAAATTTGTGTAGTAAGCAAGTAAATAAATAAATAAATACATCTCTCCTTCTGTTTTAAAAATAACTTGTACTTCATCTCTAGACTCAAAATCAATGCCTATATGCAACAGTCATATATACATCTGCATTTTCTCATTATACATACAACACACAGCCCTCCTGATTCTATCGAGACAAGTGTTCATTTGGAGCTTTTTACTGTAATGATGTTCAAACCCCTGGCCTGTTGTGCTTGCTACAGTGGAATCAACATTTTCACAGGATGAAATTAAGCAAGGGGAAAGCTACTGCAGGAATTGGATCCAATAATGACATTTTCTATCTGTGAGCATCTACTGCCAGAATTCTCTGGTAACATTGCCATTGCAAAGAATTTGAGAAGTTGAAGTCCATAAAACTGGGAAGTTTCTGCATATATAAATATTTGATTTGATTTGTATAGAAAATGTTATTTTCCGGACAGCTATTTTCAAATATTATTTTACTAGACATGTACCCTTTCAAGTGGAATTACTCTTTTGCCTATGAGTGTGAACGTTTGTTTCCTTCTCTGCAGTATGTGAGGAGAATCTCTCAGCTATCAATGTATAAAGGAATAATAAAAACACAATAAAGGAAAGCTAGAAATCTGTCTAGTATGTAAAAGTGGAACTCTACTTACATCTTTATAAATCTTTAGTTACAGTGAGTATTGAATCTTGAGTAAGTCCCATATATTTTAATTCTGACACTTTGGCACCCTTTATTTGATTATCTGTATACTATGCGGGAGTATAGCAAGTGTTAATTCACAGTTTAAAAATATTTGCTTTAAAGAAATATGGATTCCATTGCATATGAAGATATCATTCACCCACCACTCATAATCACCCCAAGAATTCTGGTGTATATTTCCAATAGAGAAGTTAAATTTTCCAAAACCAGGAGATAGCACTGTAGAGTTGTTGTTGTTATCATTCATTTTACATAAATGCATATTCAATTACATAAATACATGCTCAAATTTTCCTGCTCCACAACCTTTTCCTGTTAAACTGGCTTTACAGGTTCCATAAATTTCAGAGCCTGATTTCTGATGTTACAACTTGTCCTCCTACAGTAGAAATGGTAAGGCTTTTTTAAAAAAAATGTGAAGCTATATCCAACAGTATGGATACAGTGGAATTGACACTTTGATAAAACACATTTCCACTTCCCCAGTAGATCCAAAATTTGCTCTATAAATTTGGGGAAATTTCTGAAATGAGTTTGGGTGTGTGCAGATTATTGAAGGAAGCAAAGGGTAAAGGAGAGGAAGTCCCATTGTGCAAGCAGAAACCTGCTTGAATTTTTTTGAAGTTTCACAAACTAATGAATCAGTGCTTATCTACAGTATATAACTATATATCTCTACATTTAGAAATACAATCTATGTCTCAGGAATGTGCTACTTTTCAAACAGTTTCCTTCAGGATTAAATCTGACTAGCATAAAGTAAAATCAGTTTCATCATGTCAGTGATTTGTACTGGCCCAGAGAAACTTCTACTTTGAAATGAATTAAGATGTTCTTATTTATTTCCATTTGATATAATTCCAATCTGTTCTGATTAAATACAGTAAATTGTTGGTGGCTAGTGCCAAGGCAGGGTTGTAAAAAAAGTTAATTCCCACTGGTCATCAAAAGGTACTGCACAAACTATGGACCCATGCTCTCCCACGAAGGTTTAGAATCAAAAAATGCTATTGATGATGTACAGCACAAATGCAACACAGAACTGTGCAAACTACTGTGGCAAACGATCAAGTATTGAAGTTGCAAAAGAAGTACACATTTCTTCTCTCTGTGTGTGTGCTTTCAAGTCAATATTGACTTCTGGCAACTGCCTGGATAAGTCCCTGCAATTTTTTTGTGAGTATATTTGCACCCTGATCTGCATAATGGGCAGCTACAATAATAAGATCTAAGATCATAGGAGTAATATAATTGTACTTCTACTCATGTGGAAGTATATTAGGATAGTGGAGAATTATCATTCCTACATTTTTCCTACAACTTAGTAAAACATAGAAAATATAGTCACCATAACGTGCTACACTGCCAGATCTACACGGAAGTTTTTAAATTCTCTATCTATCCTTTGGCTAATTCTGATGTTATTGATTGATGAATACTGGATTTCTTCATAGGGACCTTATTTCTATGAAACACTGCCACTATGCAATGTTGCTCTTATTTATACATGCAGGCATAATTCTTGTTCTAAATGCAAAATTTAATTATGAACTTGGTTAGGGATACCTGAATGTCCTATTAATTTCATCTTAAAGATGCCTTGTTTACTGTTATGCACATGCTTACATGATTTATTTCTCCTGTCATCAAGTCCATAGATGAGCAAAGGTAGCATAATTTTTTTTCCCCCTGATCAATGTGAAAGTAAGATTTTCTACCTTCTCCTAACACATGGCTTAGATGTGCGGCTTCAGGCACAACTGCAGAGATGATAGCAGGTTTATTGGCTGGCTTTAGTTGCTGTGGTCATGCCCCTTACTCTCAGGTCATTATTAACTTCTTTGCATCTTCCTTTCATTTTGGTTGCTGACATGGCATGACATGACACAAGTGAGCTGCAACAAAATTAACCTCACTAGAGAAGACAATAGACCAGAATCTCCCTCCGTGTTTTCTTTAGTGAACATGGTGAAGCTATGTTAGACTAGGTAGGTCAGGACATCTCTACTTTATCATTTTTAACAACCCTGGTATTGCTAGGGCAAGGCTTAATTGTTAGAGAAAATGGAATACCACTGCACTAAGAAAGTGATAGTCCAGAACATTTTTGAACAGTCCATGAGATACTAACGTACCTCCTTTTTAGAGTTCTTGATATTGTTAGAGAGAAAAAATAGCCAGGGTCTCTCAAAACAAAGAGATTCTGCAAAGATTCTGTCAGATTGTTAAACTTGCCATTCCTGTCATATATCTAAACATGACCCTTTACCAAGGCCTAGGCTCATACCCTTTTGACCAATGATTATTTTTCCCACTAGTTGGGAACCCTATCGATTGTTGTACCTTAATTTGCCTTATAGACTGTTAGAGAGAGGTACTTTGGTGAAATGGTTAAGGATTAAGGTACAGAAACCAGGAAACTGTGAGTTCCAGTTCTGCTTTGGGCAAGTCACTTTCTCTAATCCTTAAGAAGGAGGCAAAGGCAAACCCGAAAAACTTTGCAAAAAAAAAAAACTTGAAGGGACTTATTCAGGCAGTGTCTGAGAATTGGACATGATTGAACAGAAGATCAAGCAGACTTGATCTTCTAGGACAGTAGCACTGACTGGATTGTTATTGAACACATTAGAGACTGGCTATAGAGGCAAAGCTAATTTCTGCTGGCATGTTTTGTGTGGTCTCATGGCCTGGAGCAAATCACATTAAAGCTGTCTATCTGAATGTATCCTTACCAGATATTCAATTAGTACAGGAAGTCCTCTGTCCCCCAAATCTGACAATATAGTTGGCATCCCCAAATTACAAAGCTTAGAAACTATGTGCAAAGAAACAGAAATAATGTTTTAAATATTACAAAGGTTTGTTTAATGTTAATTACCTTCTGCCTAATTAATTCCTAGGAAAAGCTGTGATTTTAAGAAACTGCAAAAAGACAGTTCGTTGATAATATTTGTTAAAAGC